AACTTCCAATGTTGCACCAATACTGCTTGGCCAATACTTTGTGCACAGTAATTACTAACCATGTTGTTATCACTTGAAGAAACAAACAACAACAATGGTCAAACCAAGCCAATTCTCCTGCCTGGGTTTGAAGAACCCCTTCCAAGTGGAGGAAATAAAGAAGACAACACTCACCATAAATCAAGACAACAACAACAACAAGAAGCTCACTGCTAAGTGTGTTATATTCTCAGGTGAGGACTATGGAGTCCAGGAGCTGTTCTATGTTGAGGAGGCCTTCACTGATGTCATCAAGGACTTGGAGTTAACCGGAGAAGCCATTGACAAGMAGTGGCAAATGGTCCTTGAACATGGTCCAGCGAAGAAGTGGAACAAGCTTTGGGAAGGCAATACCCCCCTTAATGTGGGTCGTGACAGTGTAGACAACTGGAAAAGAGCTTTYGTGGCCTGCAGCAGGAAGAGGTATGCTYYAGACCAGGACGTCCATGACAGTGTGATTAGCTACCTCCACTCAGATGAGGTCAAGAAGCTCCCAGGTATYTCTTGCAAAGCACACACCAACAGGATCATCTCATGTTGTGAAAGAGCCAACACCTTACATGGTRTCAGGAAKGAACTAGATGAAATGGAGATCAAACTCATAGTCTTCCAGTCCTTCCCCTGACAGTGGCGCACAGGATACAAGTTCAGTGGTAGGAACATCCTAGAGGATAGTTCACATATGATCAAAAAGGGATTGCAGATGAAGACACTGGAAGGAAACACCCAGCTGACAATAATGAAGATATAAGGCTGACAATAATGAAGATATAAGGAATGGGAGAAAACATGATAAGAAGAAGGGCAAGTCCTTCTTTGAAAAGAGGGAACAGCAAAGAAGAGAAACACAGATACCATGGATGGGAATCTAGTGATGATAGATGTTCCTGCACTGGCCCTGCTGAAGTTCATCACCTTGTTGAAAACTTTGTTCTTGGTAAGATTGGATTGGRCAAGCTGTGGATGTCCCCGCCCCAAATCACAACTGACATTTTTTTCTATCAGATTCCATCTTGGATTGAATGGGTCAGCAAAGCTTGGGTATGATGGGAACTGTTGCTAAGAACAGGTTGTCTGCAAAGGTTCCTGGGAAGTACTTTGATGAGAAGAACRCCGCTGGGGATTCAAACGGGAAACAGAGAGCAAAGATGTTGCATCTTGTAAAGCCTATCACTGCTGTGAAAATTGTAGCAGCTAATCCTGACAAAGGAACCAAAGCCTACAGACAGGTGCATTGCTCATTCCAAAGTACTGGAGCTTGAAATTTAGGATCAGTGAACTCAATTTCATCTTCCTCTCTTTACATTCATCAGAAGGAAAGGGGAAGGGGGGCAGACAAGTGCAGATGGGGCATTGGAATGAATGAGTCTCATGAGGTTTATCTTTATACTTATGAAAAACTGGACAATATCAATGCATACATCTCCAGAGCCAACATCTGTTACAAATCGTGGAAATACTACCATGCTGCAATTAATCATGCAAAAGCCTTGGCCATTGCTACAACATAAAATATCTACAAAGAATGTACTGATGGTAGCCTAGGTGRTGAGTGGAAGGTARGCAATGTTATGAGCTATCATTAGTTCCGACAAAGGCTTGCTTTGCAAATGATTAGAGCAGGTATATAACTGTGATACTAGACTGAGGCAGTGTACAAAAGCAACACAAGAGTTYAGAAGCAATCAGACCACTAGGAGGAAAGCCTCCAMGACTTTCCTAAAGAATGGTAAGTTGCTTGGATATCATAATTTGCAGACCATTGYAGAGTACAAGGTGAATGGAAGATTTTGCTTCACTCAGACTGAGTACACAAATAATYTAAAGGCAGTTGGGCCTACAAAGTCAAGAAATAAAAATATCTGCTACATGTGTGGTGGAAATACTTACAGTATGTGCAACCTGTGCAAAGTYCCTCTGTGTGTCACCGCAAGCAATTCAAAGAAGAGGGATTCTAATGGAGATCCCATCCAGAAGTTTTGTCACAGCAACTATCACAACTATGAATGGTTTGGGCTTGGAAGGAGCGACTGCTGCTCTAGAATAAGAAATGACAAAAGAGTGAGAGATAGTACTAACTGGAAGCCTCAAAGCAATGAAGAGTTGAAAGATAACACTGAGTATATGAAATTCTTATTGGATATAGAGGATGAGGAAGAAACATATATGATGACAAAGACAAGACAAAGTGATGATTGCAATACTGTTATCCCTCTTTACTTAAACAGTAGAATTCCTTACAACAGGAAGTGTGGGCTCGCACCCTACAGTCAKTTGCCCCTTTCAACCCCTACTGTTTAATACCTAGTATTGTTTACCACTGGACATCGCAACAAGTACCTTCAGATTAGAACATCTGCTGTTTGTTACAAATTATTTTGAAGATCAGAAAGAGTAAGCGACCAACTGCCAGTTTTATATCGATCTTTATTCGTTGAATCTCGATGTGATATCTAAATGGTCTCAGTTCGACGCAGTTGCATCAACTTGTGGTAGCCTACGTGCCAATACCKCTGTWTATACATCCTTAATTTACGATGGCGGAGGTTCTTGAGAATAGAATGCCACCGAGACATATCTAATAGGATCCTGGTTCTTTCGTATAAGTTTCCATTTGCAGTCTTGCCGTCGTTGATGGCAACTCAAGCGTGTGTATTGCAGGTCATTTTCACCTABTTTAACCGATAGGAAAGACACATTTTGTTTCCTGYAATCGTATTATTTCTTCTTCAGTTTGTTTCATTATCGATTTACCAACTCTTTTCCATCTTCGCAGTGCGCGATGCCAAAAGGGAGTGTACACAACAGTCCCTTTTGCTACCATCGCTGGAACAAGGGAGAAATCACTCCGTGACATAATGAAAATATCGGCAGTGACGTAGTCTTTCCAAGTGTCCTTCAAACTCGTACCCGTATTTACTTCATAACCACGGTTTCGAAATTCATTCAAATCCTCGAAAGACTTCGATGACGTATATATTATTACCCGAGCCCCTGGTTGCATGTACTTTTSAATCACTTTCAGATAATGGAGGTTGGGTAGATAGCTGTTATACCCATTAGTTTTTTCTTTACATGGCGAAGTATTACCTCGTAACATATGGACAACAATAGTATATCCCTGATGTCTCTTTTCCGGATAAGTGACTAAACTACGTAAGTAATCGACATATTCCGGTGTCCATATCCGAGTGTCTTCGGCTGTATACTTATCCTTAGGGATTACGGAACGCCGCGTTCTCGTATCATGAACGAAGTCTCGAGGGCATCTAAATCGTAAGGGACCATTGAGTCCCAAAGAACTCAACAAATCCTCGTGCGCTGATATTTTCGCGGATGCAGTTCCACAACAACCTCCGTAAGTTGCATTCTTGTGAAAAATATATGCATGGGCCATCAACATGTCTCTGACAACCTTCCCTGATTTTCCTTTGAAATAGTTGTGGAACATTTGATGGTCAGGATCAAAGACATAAGACGGGACCGCTGCCGAAACGACTTGCGATGCATCCACTTCATTTTCTTTTGAAAAYGGGTCATGCGCCCCAGCGCTATTWTCTTCAAAAACATCTTCAAAAACAACTTCATTTTCTTTTGAAAATGGGTCATGCTCTCTGAAAATATTTGGCACGTCAGCGTTATTGCCTGAAAATATCACTTCATTCTCTTTCGAAAATGGGTTGTGCTCTTTCAGAATATCTGGCACCTCAGCACTTTCGTCCTCAAATACYACTTCGTTTTCTTTCGAAAATGGGTCATGATCTTCCAGAATCTTTGGCATCTCAGCGTTGTTATCTTCAAATACTACTTCGTTTTTTTTCGAAAATGGGTCGTGCTCTTTGAGAAACTCTGGCACCTCAGCGCTGTTGTCTGCCACTACCACTTCGTTTTCTTTCGAAAATGGATTATGCTCTCGTACGAACTCAGCAGCCCCAGATATATTGTCTTCAAATACTACTTCGTTTTCTTTCGAAAATGGGTCGTGCTCTTTGAGAAACTCTGGCAYCTCAGCGCTGTTGTCTGCCACTACCACTTCGTTTTCTTTAGAAAATGGATTATGCTCTCGTACAAACTCAGCAGCCCCAGCTATATTGTCTTCAAATTCCACTTTGTTTTGCGTCGATAATGGCTCATGCTCTTCTAGAATCTCTATCACATCAGCGCTATTGTCTTCCACTACCACTTCGTTTTCTTTTGAAAATGGATTATGTTCTATTACATCTTTCAATTCCACTTCATTTTCTTTAGAAATTGGACTGTGTTCTCGTACAAATTCTSCAGCCCCAGCTATGTTCTCTTCAAAATCAACTTCRTTTTCTTTTGAAAATGGATCGTGATCGCTTACAATTTCTGGGATATCAGYTTGGTCGTTGACGGATTTCACTTCGCTCTCTTCTAGAAAAGGATCGTGGCCGTTTACGACTTCAGGGACATCCGCTGGATCGTCTTCCGAGTTCACTTCGTTCTCTTTTGAAAATGAATCGCGGCCATTCAAAAATTCTGGAACCTCCAATCGATCATCTTCTGGATGTATTTTCTTTTCTTGAGACATTTGATCGTGCACTTCTGTAATCTGTGGAACCTCAGCCAGGTCTTCCTGAAATTCCGCTTTGTTTTGTCTCAAAAATTGATCATGTTCTTGTTCAATTTGCGGGGCTCTGTCCTGATCATCATCGAATTCTGATTCATTGTTGTGTAGACTTTCTTGATACTCTTCATTTATATTCATCAACGCGGGACCAGGGTTGTCCCCCCTAATGGCACCTTCACCATCGTATTCTGAATTCCCTGATCCTTTCGGGAACTGTCCTCCCTTCAGAAATGATCGATAAGTAGATGATACTGCATCTCTCCCGCCGTTCGATTTGGACAATATGAATTGGTATATGGTGAAGCAAATTAGAAACAATACGTTTATAATCCCAAGCGTATGATTTTTGTTGYTCTTGGAACGGTAGCCTCGATACCGATCTCGGGTCTTCCTCATCGCAGACTTTGTGACAGCAGTCATGGCTTTGCTCTCATTTCCCTTACTTCTCTAACTAAAGATGAACTGCACTTTCCTTTGTTATGAGGCCTATTCATGAATTCTGCATRGCGTCGCCACAAGAAATCTTTGGGTCATAATATTATGAAGTTGTSGTTAATCGTAGCATTATTTAGTTTTCGTGTGTTTGCTTTCCTCAAAGTCGTGAAACTTCGAATAAAAAGTTGAAGTGTTCGAATAGGAAAACCTACCGGAGAGCGCCCGATTCAAGGTCTGATCAGTCCCGTTTGACTAAACTCAACACTTATGCGCAATGTGAATGTGCGCGCCACCTCATTTTTCCTATCTAATAGACATAATCTACTTAAGGGGCATAGCCTCTTTTTATTTGTGCGATTCCCCGCACAATAATAAAAATAATATAACCTCGCCGACAAAAACATTTTATTATGATGTTAATAAAATTTTATTATGCTCATAATAAAATTTTATTATTATTTTATTAAGCTGTTAATAAAATTTTATTATTGTTTCCTTATTATGCTGATAATAAAATGTTATTAATGGATGTTTTCTAATGCGTTATCGTGGAAAAACATTTTTATTAAGTCAATAATAAAATTTTATTAACGTTTTGTTAAGTCAATAATAAAATTTTATTAATGTTTTGTTAAGGCATTAATAAAATTTTAATAGGTCGATAATAAAATTCTATTAAGTCATTAATAAAAATGACTTCGCCGATAATAAATCCTACTGGATGGGAAACTCCAAAGAATATGGCCTTGATAACCCCCATCCTAAAGAACCAATCAATTGAAGAAGTGACCGTTATTTTGAAGGAACTCCATTAAAAAATTGTGCGCAATCGCGCGAAAACTGAAAATTCTTCATTCGGGCCCTCTCCCGGTACAGTGCAGGTACCAATCAATAATGCAACTAATTTTGCAACAGTAGAGAATCATGTACAAGTCTACGTACGTACACTTCGCTAACATCCTACTGACCACCACAGTACCAAAATCCATCACAAAATCCGCTAAGTCGGTTGAGCAGAATTACTTCCATCATCGAGTATAAGGCATTTTCTACAGTAAAAAGACAAATGATGAAGGTAATTCTTGACAATAATAGAAACATGTTATCTATTACATTGTTATACTAAGCTCTTAGAGGGGGACAAGTAGTTAGCAACAGCTACACTATCCTCCGTATCAGCGGCTCATATCAGCATCCACTGTATCAGCGACTCTTATCAGCATCCTCCGTATCAGCAGCGACTCGTATCACAATCATCCTCCGTATCAGCGACTCGTATCAGCGACTCGTATCAGCGACTTGTATCAGTTACTAGCGTCCTCCGTATCAGCAACATGTATCAGCGGGCACCGTATCAGTGAGCTTCCGTATCAGCAGTGAGCCTCCGTATCAGCAACTC